GTTGACTGTTGAAAGCGGGATTCCCAAATTCTGCGAAATTTGCCGCTGACTTATTCCACCATCTGCTTGACCAACTATCATTCCTCTAACCAAATCTGACAGTTCGAGAGATCCTTAAGTTCTAGGCATGTTGTAGCACAAGATAATTAGTGTGCGGACCATTTACATTTATATAGTGCGCTGTGAACACAAATTAGTTAGCATAAATTAATTAAATGACGAAAAATTAGGTGTCTATTTACTTGTGACCACTCAGTGTAGGTGTCAGACTCCTCTTGATTTTTTCAACTTTTTTTTCTCTCAGCATTGTTACCAAAATTGCTGAAGAAAGAAACAGATTTGCACACCAGCAAGGGGAACACCTAAACAGGGGGAAAAGGAAACTGCTGAAATATAGTGATGTTACTCCTCAAGAAATTTTAGCTTTTATTGGTTTAATTATTTCTATGGGCATAACTCGCTTAACATTCAATTTTTTCAAGAGAAAAATTCCTAACTATTGTCGCTTCTTTCATTTCAATGACAATACTAATAATCTACCTAAAACTGATCCTAAGCATGATAAACTATTCAAAGTCAGACCTGTGCTTGATCATCTACTGACGGCTTTTACAGCTCACTATAAGTCTTCTAGGGAACTTTCTATTGATGAGCAAATGTTGGGAATAAAGGGCAGAATTTCTTTTAAGCAATATCTACCTAGCAAACCTACCAAGTGGGGAATGAAACTTTGGGTTCTGGCAGAAGCCGTGACTGGATACTGTTTAAATTTTAGAATATACTCTGGTAAAGATGGATCTGCACCTTTCAAGGGCTTAGCTAGCACAGTTGTAATGACTCTGATGGAAAAGTATCTTGGAAGGGGACACTGTCTTTTTACTGATAACTTTTATACTTCCCCAACTCTGTTTGATAAGTTGCTTTCACTTGGTACTTATGCTTGTGGCACTTGTAGGAAGGACAGGGCCCACTTTCCAGACATGTTTCAAGGTAAGTTAAAAAGGGAAGAGTCACAATTTTTCAACTGTGGCTCAATGACAGCTGTGAAGCGGACTGATAAAAGAGATATTTATGCTCTTTCTACAATGCATAATGCTACAGTAAAGGAAGTGACAGGAAGACATGGTGACATGATTAGCAAGCCACAGCTAATCTTGGATTACAACAAGTATATGGGAGGGGTTGATCTTAATGATCAATTTCTTAGCTATTATTCCATTCCACGTAAAACTGTCAAATGGTATAAGAAGCTTTTCTTTAGACTTGTTGACCTGTCTATTGTTAACTCTTTTATTCTTTTCAAACAGGTGACTAAAAATAGCAAATACAAACAGAAGGACTTCCGTTTACAATTATTGGATTCTCTCGTGAAACCTCTTGAAAGTAGAGGAGGGCCTTCTTGTTTGTCAAGTACCCATTCAGCAGTTCAGGCAGATGCACAAGAACGGCTCTTACCTGGGAAGCATTTTCCAGCATTTGCTGAAGAAAAAAAAAAGGTGCAGATTGTGCCTACACACAGGTTTAATTAAGTTGACTTGTAAGTAGTGCAAGGTTCATCTCTGTGTAAGGCACATTGAAGAGTACCATACTTTGAATACTCTTCAAAGAAGTTAACTTTTCTTTATACCAAATCTAGTCAATATGTTATGATTAGAAAGAAAAATAAAACTCAATCTGATTCCTTTTATTTCCTATTTCTTTCACTTTCTTAAAATCTAAAATTTCTCTAGTAGGGGGTTTAGTGTTTATAACACTTTTTTTGCTTTTTTTTTTACACCATCCTTCAGCATTTGCATTTAGGTATTTCCAGTTGTTTTAAATGCAATTCTATTTGTGAATTAGCGTTCTAAAACTCATTGCACATATTAGCCATAAAAAATGAAAATATTTCAAGAAAGACTTTTGCAAGAGCACACAAATTATATATTTGTCTCTATTAAATTGTATTTATTATACATCACTGTGCTCAGTTTTATTATCATATCTTGTATTTCAGTTTCTGCTCAAGAATTATGTATAAAATTTTCAACATTTCACTGAATAATGTACAACTTGAATTATTCATCTTCAGACAATTGTTTGGTAACAGTGTTTAGAATATTTTTGCATGTATAAAGTCTTCAAGGTACATATTCATGAATATTGAACAAATGTACAGTTTGTATGTTCTTGATGTATAAAGTCTTCAGTGTACATATTCATGAATCTTGAACAAATGTACAGTTTGTATGTTCTTGATGTATAAAGTCTTCAGTGTACATATTCATGAATCTTGAACAAATGTACAGTTTGTATGTTATTGATGTATAAAGTCTTCAGTGTACATATTCATGAATAATGAACAAATGTACAGTTTGTATGTTCTTGATGTATAAAGTCTTCAGTGTACATATTCATGAATACTGAACAAATGTACAGTTCGTATGTTCTTGATGTATAAAGTCTTCAGTGTACATATTCATGAATACTGAACAAATGTACAATTTGTATGTTCTTGATGTATAAAGTCTTCAGTGTGCATATCAATAGTGAACAAATGTTCAGTTTGTATGTTCTTGATATATAAACTGATGTGATTATAATATCTCAGTGTAGCTTTCACTACGTTTTTATTTTTGCATCTAAACATGATTTGCATACAACTGTACGTATACTTCTCCATATTGTTTATTCATACTGTTGCGTCAGCGAGGTCACGTGACTCGTTCTCTCGAACCTTCGGGAATTGTCGGGAGATTACTAGATATAGGGTAGTC